ACCTAAAATTAGTAGGAATATTATTTCTGTTTCTTGTTTGGACAAGTTTGGTTTTTCATTTATAATAAAGAACAATTGTTGCTCTATTTATTTGAATGATATATTTTATGCTTCTGCACAAATGAACAATGGACTATATGTCCTTGATCTTGAAATGCCAATTTATAACATTAATACTAAACGGATTAAACCTAATGAGTTAAATCCAAGCTATCTTTGGCACTGTCGCTTAGGCCACATAAATGAGAAACACATTTCCAAACTCCATAAAGATGGACTCTTGGACTCTTTTGATTATGAATCATATGAGACATGCAGATCTTGTTTAATTGGAAAGATGACAAAGTCCCCATTCACAGGAAAAGGTGAAAGGGCTAATGATCTTTTGGCCCTCATACATACTGATGTATGTGGACCACTGAACATACCAGCCAGAGGAGGTTTTCAATACTTCATCACATTTACTGATGATTTCAGTAGATATGGTTATGTGTATTTAATGAAACACAAATCTGAAACCTTTGAAAAATTCAAGGAATTCAAGAATGAAGTACAAAACCAACTAGGTAAGAATATTAAAGTTCTTCGATCAGATCGAGGCGGTGAATATTTAAGCCTAGAGTTTGATGACCATCTAAAGGAATGTGGGATTTTATCCCAACTTACTCCTCCCGGAACACCACAATGGAATAGTGTATCTGAGAGAAGAAATTGAACCTTGTTAGACATGGTACGATCCATGATGAGTCACGCCGATCTTCCGAACTCCTTTTGGGGACATGCACTATTGACTGCAGCTTACACACTTAACCGGGTTCCATCCAAAAAGGTTGAGAAGACACCATATGAGATATGGAGTGGTAAGAAACAACATATGTCTTACATGAAGATTTGGGGTTGCGAAGTTTATGTGAAACGACAAATTTCAACTAAGCTTGAGCCCAAATCTGACAAATACTTATTTGTGGGGTATCCTAAAGAAACAAGAGGGTATTACTTCTACAATCCTTCTGAGGGCAAAGTGTTTGTCGCTCGAACTAGAGTTTTTCTGGAAAAGGATTTTATTTCCAAAAGAATCAGTGGGAAGAAAATAGAGCTTGAAGAAATTCAAGAACCACAAAGCATTGATACACCTATGGAGGAATTAGAGCAGGAAACACAAGTAGTTGTGGAAGAGCAACCTGCTCAAGTAGAACAAGACCAGCGTAGGTCAAGCAGGATACGTCAACAACCTGAGAGATATGGATATCTCATAAGTGATCAGGGTGATGTATTACTCATGGATCAAGATGAGCCTGTGACCTACCAAGAGGCCATAACTGGTCCTGAGTCCGAGAAGTGGCTAGAAGCCATGAAATCTGAAATGGATTCCATGTACACAAACCAAGTTTGGACCTTGGTAGAGCCTCATATAGGAGTTAACCCTATAGGATGCAAGTGGGTCTTCAAAAAGAAGACTGACATGGATGGTAAGGTACATACCTATAAGGCAAGACTGGTTGCAAAAGGATATAAACAAATTCATGGGGTTGACTATGATGAAACCTTTTCACCAGTTGCAATGCTTAAATCTGTTCGGATTTTACTTGCTATCGCTGCATATCATGATTATGAAATATGGCAGATGGATGTCAAAACTGCTTTCCTTAATGGGAATCTTCTTGAGGATGTGTACATGACACAACCTGAAGGATTTGACATACCAGAAGAAGCCCAAAAGATATGTAAGTTACAACGATCAATTTATGGATTGAAGCAAGCTTCCAGAAGCTGGAATCTTCATTTTGATGAAACAGTAAAACAATATGGATTCATCAAGAATGAAGATGAGCCTTGTGTCTACAAGAAGGTTAGTGGGAGCATGATCGTATTCCTGGTATTATATGTAGATGACATATTACTCATTGGAAACGATGTCCCTACCTTGCAACAAGTGAAGACTTGGTTAAGGAAATGCTTTTCAATGAAGGACCTAGGTGAAGCAACCTATATATTAGGAATCATGATCTATAGAGATAGGTCACAAAAACTGCTTGGCCTAAGTCAGAGTACATACATAGAAAAGGTGTTGAGACGCTTTAATATGCATGATTCCAAGAAAGGATTCATACCTATGCAACATGGCATGTGTCTGTCAAAAACACAATCCCCTTCAAGTAAGGAAGAAAGGGATCGCATGGATAAGATTCCATATGCATCAGCAATAGGATCTATCATGTATGCCATGCTATGTACTCAACCAGATGTCTCGTATTCTTTAAGTGCAACGAGTAGGTACCAGTCTAATCCCGATGATGCTCATTGGGTAGCTGTCAAGAATATCCTTAAGTACTTGAGAAGGACTAAGGACTCATTCTTGATATATGGAGGTCAGGAAGAGCTTGCTGTAATTAGATACACCGATGCTAGCTTCCAGACAGATAAGGATGACTTTAGATCGCAATCTGGTTATGTGTTTTTTTTAAATGGTGGCGCTGTGAGCTGGAAAAGTTCAAAGCAAGATACAATTGCTGATTCTACAACTGAGGTTGAGTATATTGTTGCCTCAACTGCAGCAAAGGAAGCTGTTTGGATCAAGAAGTTCATTAGTGAACTTGGCATATTCCATAGCATTGTGGATCCCATTGATCTCTATTGTGATAACAATGGTGCTATCGCACAAGCTAAGGAGCCTAGATCTTACCAACGATCCAAACACATACTTAGGCGTTATCATCTCATTCGAGAGATAATCGATCGGGGAGATGTGAAAATATGCAGAGTACCTACACTTGACAATGTTACTGACCCATTAACAAAGCCTCTTTCACAGCTGAAGCATGATGGACATACTAGATCTATGGGTATTAGGGCTATGCCTGATTGGCTCTAGTGCTAGTGGGAGATTGTTGGTGTAAGCCCTAGAGGCCAATACTTTTGGTACTTGTATCAAATTATTTATTAATAATAAAAGGCATTTCTTTATTATGTTTGCTTTCCAAAATAATAAAGTCCCTAGAATGGTTTATTTGTTTAATGAAATGTTAAGTGTGACTTAATCATGAGATCCCATTAAACATAAGACACTATTCTTAAAGTATCCGTAGTCAAGCTTTAATGTGAAGTGGGATAACATTAAAGCATTAAGATTATTATGAAGATAGATTGATGATCACATCTCATGAATCATAGATAAGGAGTTATCAAGTCTTGACATATGTATGAATATTAGGAGTAATATTTATACTGGATTGACCCGCTATGAGAATACTACATAGAATATTATGCAAAGTGTCATAAGTTATTCTCATGATGATAATGGTGTATACCACCCTTCGACCTGAAACCACTATGGACCCTAGATGTAGAGTCAAGTACTTTATTGCTGATCAAACGTCATCCGCAACTGGATGACTATAAAGACGGTTGATGGGTACTTCACAAAGCATGCTAAGGGACATGAGTGACCTAGATGGAATTTGCTCATCCTGCATAATAAGATAAATGTCTAAGGGCCCAATATTGAACTGGACAAGGGTGACACAGTGTATGCCTTGTGTTCAATATAGACATGAGGGTAAAAGGGTAATTGTACAACACAAATATTATCACGGAAAAGGTTTGGTTAGATCACATGACATTTTCGTGACTTGGGTAACAATGATGTGTTGCTAGATACCGCTCACTGTTTATTATATTAAATGTGTGATTTAATATAATTGCCAACGTCGCGAAAACCTACAGGGTCACACACATAAGGACAAGTTGATGAGAGATAGAATAAATAAGGAACACCGTAAGGTACGGTGCACTTAAGTGTAATACGGAAAGTGGTAAGGTACCACGTGGATAAGTGATATATGGTACATCATAAGGTATGATGTCCATAAGCTTAATTGGGCTTTTAGCTTATAGCCTTAATTGGGCTTTTAGCTTGTAGCCCACACGAGTGATTCTATAAATAGATCCCTTGTGATGAAGCAATTTGACTTGATGCAATTTCGTTTTTGATTCTCTCTCCCACTCAAGGTTTTCGTTCGTGATCAGCTAGCACTGTGACCGGAAGCGATCTGTTCGTGTGGACTGAGTAGAGGCGTTGTTCTTCATCAACGCTCGTGATCACAATATCAAAGGTCTGAATCGCCACAAGAGGTAAATATTTCTATCACTGACCATGTTCATTCGTAAGGATCGCTAAAGGAAAATTTTAAATTCCGCTGCGCTTTTGATTGCAATTTTCTTTCAAGCAGGTGTTAAAGTCATTACTCATGTACCCAGAAGCAACAACTTGGGGGGCTACTGTTCTGGACTGGTCCGACAGCTTGAATAGGCCTAGTCTAGACCTTTCCTTTTGTATGGCCCGCACGTCCATGACCCGAACCGCCCGCTATCCATCGGGCAATATCGACCATTTCCCATCCCGATCCAACACTGACCTAAGATGATCGACGGGCATCCTCTCAGCCTGTCGGACATCAACGCCGTGCAGGCCACCAGGAACCAACCAGAGAGATGCCCGGCTTGACCAAGTCCTGGCAGTTACCTGATTTTACAGACCCACATATCCAGGCGTAAAATCAGGAACTAATGGCCATGCGCCAGCGGTATTATATAAACCCTCACACCTGTGAGGGCCAGGTATCGAATACTCATTATTCACCACCATACCTTAATACTTTGCTCGTATCTCCTTGTTCCCACTTTTACTTGATCGTCGAAGTGCCTTGCATGTACAACCCTCTTTTTCCTCCTCGACATCACAACCCGACTACAAATCATCTTCCAGCCACTTTACAGGTTCTGATCAACCGGTAAGATTAACATTAAAACCACTTGGTTCCATTAAAAAAAACGGTGACATAGTTTATTGCATGAATCAAAACTTTATTTGAAAAGATACTGCCACCACTAATATTTATCTGATTGGCTAGAAAAAATTATCCCTCCAAAAAGTTGGATGACCTAGGATTCAATAAACTAGAGATATCAACATAATCTTTCTTAAAAAGTTGATTTATGATATGCTTCAAAATACTGATAAACTTTGGACATGTTTACCTTCTCATAAGTATTTGTTTGGTGTTTGCTTACTCCGCTGTTCTTTCACTATAAGTTCTTCCACCTATAACTCTATTATTAGAGTGAGGAATATATTAAAAAGTGGGTTTAACTAAAAGCTTAAATCAAACTTATTTGATTTCTGGTACAATCATTAAACTTTTCTTGTCCTCTGCATACTCTTGTTGATTATGTTTACATACATGACCTTTCCCCCAACAATTAAAGTTTTTTCTTACTCTACAACACCACCCTACATCCATCACTTGAACAACTATTTCATTAGTTGGACTCCTTCCTTATTTTGCTTTGTTTTTTTAAGCCTTGTACCAATTTGTTTAAGAAAAAATATAGTCATAATTAAACTTTTAATAAAAATTTAACTGATACACATCAAAAATGAAAAAAAATTTACACGATCAATTTATAGTAACCATTAAATATTTATCAAAATTTGATTTTTGTTTTAGTTATTTATTAAATAACATTTATAAATAGTTTATGTAAAGAAATTTAACTCACAATACATAACAATTAATTTTTTTAATAATTCAAAAAATTAATTTTAAAGCCTTAAAATAAACGTCCATAAATATTTTCTATGTTGTCCGACGTTTTGATAATCTCCGAAACACTACATATTTCTTTATGGTGTCGACGCTATAAATTTATTAAATAAAATTTAGCGCGATCGAAGTCGACGCTAACTGTGCTGAAGCAGTAAACCTATCTCTACAATCTCCCATTCCGTCTCTTCCTGTACCCGCCAAGAACCACCATACGCGAAGCTACAAGAAGGCTCCTATAGCCTACACCGCATCTCGCAACGCAAGGTCCGTGTTATTTTATCTACATTATCAAATTATGGCTAAGTTTTAGGGTTCTTTAATTTTGGATTTGACTCCTTAATCCACGGATTCTAAGCTAATTAACTAACCATTGTGCTGTGGAACCCTAATTAGTTTTAAGATATGAGTAATTTGGGCGTGTCCGGCAATTGTGTTCTAAAGAAATGAGTTATTTGGGGAGTTGGTGGTCAGTCACGGAATAGGTCGCTCTCTTTATGATATTTGACTCAAAATTGTGCAAAGCACCACGATGTCCTCAAGGATAAAACAATCTCTTTATGATGTTTGACGGCACTACTCAAAATTGTGCAAAGCACCACGATGTCCTCAAGGATAAAACAATCCAATTGGTGACACTATGACCCAACACCGTCCGGTGGATGTGTGTGATTGTTCATTATGGTGCTTCCTCCCTCACCCTTTCACAAAATTGCACACCCCTTGGGCATGCCTCAAGTGACCAATCTTTCATGTATAAACCTTACTAAAGTGTGGTATCTCTCCAATGTGGGATTTTAAGGAACTTTTTTCTCAAGAGGAAAAATGAACAACAAGTCTCATTCAAAACCATCCAACATATTATTTGTGTATAAATATTGAGGCAATCACACTTTGAGCTAGCCTTTCTTAATTCATTAATTAATAAACAATATTGACTCAATTTTGCATCATTATTGTATTATTTCTATCGACATTATAATCACTTTATATTATTTCATTCAAAATTAACTTTGTTTCTTAATTTGTGTGTCATTTAGTAAACTGAGTGATATTGTGGGACAAAGGAGTATTTCTTTGCAAGTTCAGATGCAGTTCAGATGGGAGAGTCTGAACTTTGGACTATTTTCTTCTTTCTATGGATAAATATTAGCTAATCTACATTTTATTTTAAATATTAATGGGCTGTATCGGCAAGTTGTAAAAGATGGATAATTGGTTTCCTTGAATTTATGCATGCCATCCACACTTAGGCTTGAATTGTGCCTACTTGATCTTGTTGCTACTGCATATGAAGTGCCTAGTTCTATGCGCAGGCTAGGATAGTCTGTCTTTGATTGGGTTTACCACTCTTTGACTTGGTTTATTTCGGTGTAGCTGAAATATTGTTAGTCATCTTGGACTTTAGCAGGGTTCAAATGATAGCACATGGAAAACTGCAACCTTTTATAAGCTAGCATGGCTTCAACATAGTTTACTAGTATCCCCCAGATTATTCATTTGATTTAATCAAAGCTATTAGTAAGAATATTGATGTGCAATCAGTGTACACAATTTCTTTCATAAACAAAATTATCATCAGTTTGCTGTTGATTTATTAATCTCTCAAGTGGTCTTTATTGCTATGTTGTATGTTTTGAGATGAAACTTAAACTTTTATGCCATGCTGAATGTGTTGTCGAAATTTTTAAAGTTTGAGCAGTAACCCTAGTGGCTAGCTAATAATCATATGCCTAATATGCAGGAAATGGATCGTAGTTGGATGTATGATAGGTTCAATCCACATAGGAGAGGCTTGAAATTTGAGTTCGTTAGTGGAGTTCAGGAGTTTATTAAGAAGGCTAAGGAACAACCCTGCTTTTTGTCTGAGAAAAAGATCAAGTGTCCGTGTGAAACGTGCAAGTGTGTAAAGTCTTTCACTCCAAGAGATGTGAAAGCTCATTTGTACAAAAGTGGGTTTAAACCAAACTATTCAATCTGGACTGAGCACGGAGAACTAGAGCAAAATATTTGTCCAATGAATCAATCAAATAGTAGTGAATATATGGAGGAGGAGGTGGTGGTGGAAGAGGAGGAGGATCCTAAAACTCCTCATATGGAGGCGTCGGAAGAGGAGGATCCCAAAACTCCTGACATGGAGGAGTCGGGAGAGGAGGAGGATCCCGAAACTCCTCAAGAAATGGATACAAATAAGCAGAATGCTGATGGTAAGGTTCTTATACGGCCATGTGGGTTAGGGTAAGTTATAATGTTTTTGTTCTTTAAGCACTTAATATATATAGATAGATCGGGGACATTGAGTTTGGATTTTTTGTAGGTGGGCTCCTAGCGCAGCGCCTGCTGCTGCGATTAAACAGGTCATCCAGTCCCACTTTCCGGGTCCATTTCATTGCTGGAGGGAGACCCCAGAGGATGTAAGGGAATATTGGTGGAAATTGTTTGGGGTCAGTTGCGTTTATTTAATTTAACTTATTTAATTACTAACTAGTTGCACCTACTTAATTATAACTAGTTAGATTCCTTCATTTTTAGGACAAGGTTGCTTGGGATCCTCATGATCACAGAAATATCAAAAAGACGTTTCAGTCGAGAGGCGCAAAACGCCTTTCAGATATGCTCTCAAAAGTGAGGAAGAAGGGGACAAGGCCTCATTGGATATGTGAGGAGGCTTGGAAGGGTCTTATTGTCCATTGGGAGGGTGAAGCCTTTCTAAAGATCTCTACCCAAAATAAGACCAATCGGGCTTCAGGTAAAGGTGGAGCAGTCCACACCACAGGCCGCAAGGCTCATGTTGATGTGGCACTTAGCATGGTATGTATTTAATATACATTTATCGACTTGTTCATTGAATGTGTGATATTTATAAATTTAAAATGTGTTGGTTTTTTATGCAGGCTCAAGAACTTGGGCGGTCTGTGGATCCCGATGAGCTCTTCTTGGCTACCCATAAAAAGAAGTCTGGAAATTGGGTTGATAACCGCTCTCAAACAACATATGTAAGTTGTTGGTCCTTATATTTTTTATATATAATATCGCTTCGGAACAAAATGATATTAGGTTATGTTTCCTTTTGACTAGAAACATTATCAAGATCGTCTGAAGGAGGTAGAAACACAAATTGGTGAGGCCTCCCAGAATGGGACACAGAAGGTAGATGGGGCAACAAAGCTTGAATTGTGGAAAGAGGTTGCTGGGGGAAAGTCTCGAGGTCGTTGTTATGGCACTGCAGATTTTTCTATAAACCTCCGACATGGTGCAACTTCGCTGACTCAGGAGTCTCGAGAACCTTACAGTGGCAGGTGTGATCATGCTATGCATCTTGAGGCCATTGATGCAGCTCGTAAGGAAGCTGCTGCAGCACGTCAGGAGGCATCCACAGCACGTCAGGAGGCAGCTGAGGCAAAACAACATTTTATGCTGTTGGAGGAGAAGTTCTTCAAGGTAATGAATCACATGAAAACTCTGGAGCGCAAATCAGCAGGTGCTTCCATAAGTGTGGTTCGAGCTCATAGGAGACATCCTCACAATGATGATGACCATTCACTAGATGAGGTCTTACCAGTCCGTCGGCGAAAGGAACAACTAGCTATAAGGCGGCATCCTCGTTATGATGAAGATTATTCACTAGATGAGATCTCACCGGACCGTCGCCGAAAGCAACGTTGGTCTCAAAGTCGACGTCCTCACTATGATGATGATGGTGATGATGATGATGATGATAATTCGCTAGATGGGATCATACAACATCAAGCTAAAAGGGGACAGCCTCACTATGACGATGATGATTTGCTTGATAGGGGGCATCCTCACTATGCTGATGCCGATTCGCCAGAGGAGGACATATCAAAGCAACATCAAGTTAAAAGGGGACATCCTCACTATGATGAAGAAGATTTGCTAGATAGGGGGCATCCTCACTATGCTGATGATGATTTGCCAGATGAGGTCGTACCAAAACAAAATCGGGCTCCAAGGAGTCATCCTCGATATGATGATGATGATCTGCCAGATAGGTGGCATCACCACTATGATGATGATGATTTGCTAGATAGGAGGCATCACCACTATGATGATGATGATTTGCCATATGAGGTCATACCAAAGCAAAATCGGGTTCCATGGGGACATCCTCACTATGAGAATGACAACTTGCTATATGAGGCTGCGCCAAAGCAACGTCAAGCTAAAAGGGGACATCCTTACTATGATGATGTTTTGCCAGAAGAGGTCTTACCAAAGCAACGTCAAGCTAAAAGGGGACATCCTCACTATGATGATGTTTCGCCAGAAGAGGTCTTACCAAAGCAGCGTCACGCTAAAAGGGGACATCCTCACTATGATGATGTGTCCCCAGAAGAGGTTTTACCAAAGCAACATCAAGCTAAAAGGGGACATCCTCATTATGATGATGTTTCGCCAGAAGAGGTCTTACAAAAGCAACGTCAAGCTAAAAGGGGACATACTCACCACGACGACGATTTGCTAGATGAGGTTTTACCAAAGCATCATCAAGCTAAAACGGGACATCCTTACCATGATGATTCACCAGCTAGTCACCGCAGTCGTTACCGTCATTGAGTTTGATTTCTTTGATATGCTTTTTGTTCTAAGACTAAAAAGTATGTATACCTTTGTCTTGGTTTAGACACTGATATTTCCAGTTCAGATTTTGTTCCTCATATCAGTAATTATAAGCAGCACAGCTTGGTGGACGCCATCTTATTGTGAGCTAGTCCTATATGAATATTGTGCAGACTACATGACTCATGACCTTCTATAGATATTATTAGTATTTCCAATCATGTTTTTCTCAGAAGCTACTAATCGTTATTACTCATTTTGACGCCTAATCTGTCTCGTTTTGTCATACTGTTTAGCAGTGACTGTCATAATTAGCTTTGAGTTTTGTTCTGCTTTCTTATGACTTTCTTACGGTTATGGCACGAGCAAGGGAGATTGCTTTGTCTTATGAGTCCCACTGTGTTTTTCTCTTGACAGGGTTCTATTGTTATGTTAATTGCTATAATAAGACATACGAAGTCTTATTACTGTTTCTAGAGCGTTTTTGGACATAATAATTGGAAAATTTAGGGAATCCAAATTCTGGGAAATTCAAGTACTTTTATTTTAAAATTATTTTGTTCTATTAGAGTAATAAAATTCTTCTTGGGGAAAATTTTATAAATTTTAAAAGTTTTGTATCAAATTTGTAAAGAGATTAATTTGCAGTAGCGATAAGCGAGAGACGGGTAGAAGCGGGTTATAGCCAACTTTATATAAGTTCAAACACATTCTATAATCTATCTATTGGAGATTGGGTTAATTTAAGATGTTCAAACAAGTTTTATAATCAAAGGATCAGTTAGGATTGCGTTAATTTAAGATGAAACCGGAATTATTTGAAATGAAGAAAATAATATTTTAATAATTATACACAATTATTTAAAGAATTTGATAATAGCATTTTAAGATATATATTTAAAAATGGATTTTACAACAAAAACACCATAATTTATTGATTATATCATGTTTTTATTAGAATATTTACATTAAAACTCAATTATTTAATACAATTTATTTAAAAATAAATTATATTTAAAATTTTTATACAATTAACCTTTATGAAGTTTACATGACTAAAAAATTTAACTTAATAACAAAAAATTAAACTAAATTTACTTAATAAAGATACTTGTCTATTATAATGCAATAAAAATGGATAATTGTTCGATCAATTATAATATTTGACTATTTAAGTTATACGATCAAAGAATAAGAATATTAGATAAAAGTGTTGGGCGAGCGGAAAAAAATGAATTTGGATGGGAAAAAGAGATTGGGCCCGAATGAGATAATGATCAAATTTAAGCAATTTTTCATTGTATTTTTGTATAATGGAGCGTATCTCTGAAAATTCAAAAAATGTCTCTGAGTAAATTTAGAGATGCATTTTCGAACATATCAAATACTAATTTTTGTTTAAGTTTAGTTTGGAGATGCATCTTCAAATTCACCATAGTGTTAATTCGCAGATACATCTCCAAAATCACCATCCGTCCTTACTAAATAAAACAACCACTCAATTTTCTTAAGAAATAAGTTCGGAGATATATATATATATTCAAACTATTTTAGAGTAAATTTGGATATTCATCTTCAAATTATTGTCTGAGTCTTTTTTCCAGAACCAGTTTGCTAACATTGTGGTGTTTTTAATCCAAACTAATTTTAAATCGAGTAATATTGAGTGTGGGAGTATCTTATGTACCTCTCTCACAATTTCATTATGTGTGGTAGGGAGGATTGAATGTTTTAATAACTGATACCACACACTCAACACAACCTTAAGATTCACCCTAAAAGTAATCCAATAGTTCATGGATTCATTTTTGATCTAATGTGTTCCCTCCTTACAAATGGATTACATGATCAAAACATCAACAATTTCCAATAGAGTTTTTATATATGTCTTGTATAAATCATGTGACAAACTTCTTATTGATTTTTGCTTTATGATACTGAACATATTTCCTTTTAACAACATATTTTGCCCCGTGCTTAGAAAATCTCTTATAGACATGACTTGAAATGCCTCTCCCAATATCCTCTTGTAATCTTTAATCATCCTCCTCAGAGTTGAAAACAAAACCTCTTTCGGAATGTCAGATATTGGTTTAAAATATTTCAAGGAGAAAGACAAGGAAGTGTCTTGATTGACAAAACTCCGTACTTGCTAGAGTCTGAGTCAGATAGTTATAAAGTTATGGTTGGGTTTCCCCATGGAGCCATTTTGTACAACCTTCTTAATTCACTTTAATCACAAACCTAAACAAAACTCACATAAAAACTAAACAAAAATAATAATTTGGGTTGGCTCCTAACAATGCTTGGTTTTGAGAATTTGTCATCCTAACTTAATAATAAAAATCATACTTTAGCAAGACCCATAGTGATCTTCATTCTAGATAAATGTTCACTAAGTTATTGTCTTACTATTTGATCAAAAACCCTAAACTCATGCCCTATTTTCTCATCAAGGAGGTCCATAACTGTATAAGGATATACCTTTAAGAATTTGAATGAGCCTTACCACCTTGAATGTCCATCCATTAACTCTCAATCTTAAAATATTATTATCTTGAAATTTCTTGGTCATCTTCCTTTGCACTTTTTCATTTTAATAAGAGAATAACGTATGTGTTTCCAGTGATTTCTGGTAAACAACCGCTAGTCTTCCAAACTATCAAATAATCTTTCTGACTGTTATTCAATTCCTCTGGTAACTCACATGATCGACTAGATTGATCCTAGGACTCCTTGGATATTAAGGTTACTCTTACGATCGAATAGATATTCATGGTTGATATTGTATACGTGTTTGGCTTATTTCGATTTCTCTCTCTAAAAGTCTAAAGATGTAATCAAAATGTGTGTGTGAAAACTAAGTTACATGAATAAATGCTAATTGTAAAGACATGTAAAATTGCATAAAAGTGAAGTAAATGGTTTCGACTTACAAAACAGTTAATATAAAGGATTTCTGGAACGTAAAAGGTTTGAAATATGAAGAAAGCGTTTAATGCAAGAAATCTTTAAATGACTTTAAGTAAAAATATGCGTTCGAAGGATAAGACTTGAAGGTAAAGGTATGAAAAATATGACAGTTTTCTGAGATATAAAGTGCTTGAAATATGAAGAAAACATTAAAATGTAAAACTTTGAAGAAGAGATTTCGAAGTGAAAAGACTGTAAATGAGAAAACTTGTAAATGTTATTTGACAAAAAGATAAAGGAAAGTGCTGGAAATGGTAAAAGGTTTTCATTAAATCAGAAATACATGGTGCTATCATACATACATTTCTCTTGCATTCGTTTCCCTTGCCATGTGGTAGTTTGAATGTTACTGAGTATTTTGTATAATAGATATGACACCCCAAATCCTAATACTAAGACTTCTATTTATACTAATTCGACCATAACGGTCTTGCTATAGGATTATGCCACGTTTAGAACATGCAGGACAATGCCTCTTTCGTCTTTCCACGTGTCCCCAAATGCTCCAGCACATAACTTTCAAACTTCGAAAGTCCCGCTTCCATTTGAATTTCAAATGCTTTGGTACTTCTCCGTTTCGAACGCTCTTCCCAGACACAGCCTTGTTGTTATTTCGAGACTTCTTTAGATATGTTCCCATAATTGCCACTCGAAGCTCCAAGCTTTGACATACTTATTCGAAACACTGCTTCTGCTACTTCGAAACATGACGCTTTACCTCATTTCGATCAAAACGTTTAATTCATTTGGCTTCTAATAACATTATCAAAATCTTCAGCCAACAAATTGCCCCTTTAAAATATGTATTTCGATTCCTCTGAGAAATACCTATTTTAAACACCTACACAAGATTTTGATGGGACTTTCGAATCATCGTAACATTTAATGCATTTGACTCCAGTCACGTCAATCATAGCACCTTTTGGATTCCTTAACCGCCTGGAGCCACTTCACAGCATGGTGCAGTTACAAATAATGATTATCTTTAAATCACACCTACTACCCATGTTAACTTTACGCCACCTCTTCATCACACCAACCCATGATCTCCACGTATCACACCTTTATTCGGTGGATGCTTAAACTTCCCCATTATAAAACATCACCAACTTAATCTTTTTCTTTTCTTTTCACACTCTAAATCTTTTACCCTCCTTCTCTCGTAAAAAAAATCCAAGCTTTCAACATCTTTCAAAAATGTCTTCTTCTACTTCATCCCAACTCAAGAAAGTCTCCAAGAAGAAAGGAAAAACTGCAGGAGCTACCATGGAAAGTAAAATCATCACTCACAAAGGTCAATCCGTTCTTGCCCCTCAGATGATTTCAAAAGAAAAAGAAATGCTGTATGCGTCACAGGTACTCATTCCTACCAACGTTGCTGGTAAGAGGTTAGCTTTAAATGGCCCTCTTACGGTTTTTGAAATATTAAAAGACACCAGGGCGATTTTCCCAGTTTGTTATAGCTTCAAACCCTTATTTAACAAAATGGACGCCCCTAAGGCAGTAGAATCTCCTAGTTCAAATACCATAGAAACCCCAACTGTTCCTCCTAAGGACCCCTTTGTTTTGGATTATGTAAAAAGTAATTTAAAGCCATTTCGATCTTGCCCCACCTCTGATATTGCTTATCAAAATTGGTTCACGAAAGTAGAAGCTAAGAAATCCCAGCAATGGGAAGAATTAGGCATCTATAACCTGATTAAGCTATCGAAGCCTGGTTTCACCTACAGCCACCCTCTGCTATTCGCGTCCCTTTATTTCTGGGACAGTACCTATAACACTTTCCATCTCCCAGGTGGAATGATCACCCCAACCTTCTTCGACACAGCGGCCATCACTGGGCTATCGCCAGTGGGAGAAACTTATATACCCGACAACGAAGAACACTCAAGCATAATTGACTTCGAAGTCAAGCTAGCCAGTTTTTCCAAATTTATCAGTCATTACCATGCTGAGGGGGACAATGTGTCTGACATAGAGCACATTGCTTTCTTAACCCTGTGGCTGTCAAGATATGTTTTCTG